CGGTATCCCCTGCTGCTGTCTGTGGGGTATACACCTCTAGTTGCTAATGCAGGCACGATTGACCACGTTTCTGAGGACCATAGTTGGAGAAGGAATAGAGTAGGGATTGGCATGCTTCTGACTCGACTAGGGTATGCTCCTCACCACTGTTATGCAATAGCTCACCATTATTATCGACACTGTTGCAGACAAGCTCTTTGCTAGGCGCATCAACAACAATCACTAGGACGGCGCTGAGATGCATATTGCTGTCCAATTTTGCCGGTATAGAGTTGAGCCGCCCAGATTCTCCAAATATGATCTCGTTTACGTCGTCGTGTTATTGCGACTATCCCCCCCCCGGGGCCATTACAAAAAGGGCGTACGATCGAATTTGTGGTATTGAAACTGCTCATTGACAGTGAAGAAAAGCTTATCAGCCTCCTTTGCGGATTATAGTAGCAGCAACCATGTGAGAGAGCTTGAGTCTTGTACCATAGATATAGTAGAGGGTACGCAGCCTCATCTTCGGGACTGTTCTCGTCCCTGTTGCTCGGTTATGATTCTAGTAGCATGAATCTACTGCTGATGGGCATATGTAAATTCTTGATCAATATTAGTTGCATGGCACAGGAATGTGTCCTGGGAAGCTCCACCGGGTCTTCTAAAGAAACGTCGTAGTTGGGAGACTGCAGTGTTCTGGATATGTGGTGATTTATATATGTTAAATACAACCCTGGACTATTACAAATAGAGGAGAGGCAAACACAAACAAGTATATATATGCATGTATAGATCCAACTCTAATGATGGTAAGTATAGGTCGGCTGCTACCCAGAGGAACAACCAGAATACTCTATCGATCAATCAATAGGACTGTTTTCTTTATTTGCTTTTGAGAATGCTAGCCCTATTTCTCATGGCGAGCCTAGTTTACTTTTCATATCATGAATCCTATGTATAGAGGCATACATACCTGAAATTCTCCGATGATAAAAGACCATCATATGTCCTTATTCAAGTGCCTCCACTATATCTGCCAGTGGGAATTGTCAAAGGGTGGCCCTCTCACCAAACTTCCCCTCTTTACGAATATCCGTCTAAAGCTAGCGAACAGGACATCGAGATACATTCTCACCTAGACGCCGATCCCACATGAGGCTCTGGCAGTCAAGCAGCCCAGGAAGACCAAGAGAAGCATACCACACCAAGCAGTTTATTCCATCGCCCAACTCTTCCACTTTGATAGACTACATCGCATGGTTAGCCCAGATGTCCTTGAGGTATGCGTGGCAGTGACCATGATTGTTTTGCTCGTTTGGAAAAGACATCAGCTTCACCTGGAAACATTTCGAGTAGCTTGCCATACCACTGGGAGCCGTAATGGGGCGTTCATCACCAGGATACTGTGATGGAGGGGGTTAGACTGCTATCCACATTCGGACTGCTCCTGCTTCTACATTTATATGTTCATACATGCCTTGGTTGCAAATACAAGAGTCGGTCGCATATAGGCAGTACAGGCAAATATCACAGATATGAAGAACCGATCTGGTCTCGCGGATATACACTACGAGCCAGGAACAGCTACATATTCCCTCGTCCCCGGGTGCTAGCATGCTATGGACAATGTAGAGCCCAGTCTCAACCGCAGATGTCCGAATTATATTTGTTAAGACGATATGCCCTTCTCGGCATCTTACGTTAGTACACCAAGTCGAGCGTTAATATATATCCAAGAACAACCACTATCCAAACACCTAGCATAGCCCACGATCAAATACAACCATACCCGACAACACCAAAATCCGCTTTACTAATAAAAAAGAACCAACCACTTAACAACAACCCAACATGTCCCACAACTCCACCATACCCACTTACAAGATACAAACTCTGGTTCGAAGTCCCCTTTTTTTATTTTGTGGCTAAGTATATGTATGGTAAAATTTGTCTATGACGACATCACAGGGCGGCTGGCCTAATGGTAAGGCGCTAGATTTCGGCTCTAGAGATTGCAGGTTCGATCCCTGCGTCGCTCGATCTTTTTGACTTTTTTGGTTCAGATCACTTTGGGTCGGGTGTATGTAAGCAAGTAACCCTGATGGATAATTGCATGGTAGTTATTCGTCCTGGGAATGGTCCTTTGTTGTTTTTTGGTCTGTAGGTGGGTGTTTTGCTTAGGGTGAGTGAGGGATATGCTCTTGGTATTTGTTAAGTGAATGAAGTGTCTTTCGTTGATAGCTGCTACTGGAGGATATGGCCGACTGGTAGGGAGTAGGGTAGTATTGTGCGAAGGACTCCGGATACCTAGTCTCGCCTCGGGTTTATAAAAAAACCGTCGAGCAGACTTACCTCGACTGAAGTTGCTTAGATGAAACTACTACTAGAAACGAGTGGTTGATATTGACCATCGTGCATGTCTATCTAGTATACATTTCGGGGTAGAGTAGAGTAAAATACATTATTTACAAATCAGCAGTCCGCCCTGCCGAAATACCGAGGGAAAGATACTACGTCTCGGATACTGGAGACGCCAGCCAGGTATCCCAGGAATCGGTCAAATCCAAGACCGAATCCTCCATGGGGCGCTGTTCCCCACCGCCGAAGATCGGCATACCACTGGAGATGGCCCAGGTCTTCACCGGGCAAGAGGTGAGGGTACATCGGCGTCTCGGAATCGGCTTGTGCTCCTGCTTCCGCTTCCGCTTCCGGAGCGGGTGGTGCGCGGGTCTTGATCAGCCCGTGCTCGCGCATGTTCTGGATGATGTTGGGGAGGCGATGCTCGCGGAGGGAGCCTCCTGCGACTTCGCTAACTTCTGGGAGGAGGAGATCAAAGCAGGCGACTGTTTCGCCCGGTGCTGCGGAGCCGTCTCCGTTTGATGGCAGCATGTAAAATGGTTTGACGACCTTGGGATAGTCGGTCACGAACACGGGACGGCCGTTGTGAATCACGTCGACGATGTACTTCTCGTGTTCGAGTTGAAGGCCGCCGGCCCAATCGGGTGCATGTTCGAATGTGGCTTGTCCCTTGGCGACCGCGTCCTGGAGCTTCTCAATCGCTTGCGTGTAGGTCATGCGACCCCATTTGGGTCCCTCCATCATGTCGTTCCATCGTTGTTTTAAATCAGCACCAGATCCTTCAGTTTGATCCTGACCGGACTCGCCCGATCGCTTTGCGGACAAGATCTCCTGGCCAACAGGCGTGTCGTGTAACCGACGAACTAGGTCACGGAGAATATACTCCACGGAGTCGGTCAGCGAGTCTAGGTCATGCATGTAGTTCATCTCTGCCTCCAGCATGTAGAACTCGCTAAGATGGCGCGGCGTATCGCTCTTCTCGGCCCGGAACATGGGCGATATCGTCCATACATTTCCTAGCTCTGCTGCGTATGCCTCGAGATGGAGCTGTGACGATACCGTCAGGTATTTGGGTGCCCGGAAAAAATGCTCGCCCTCGGACTGTGCCCCCATAGCTTCCCGCGGCAGAACTGTGAACGTCTCCCCAGCGCCTTCACAATCCGACGACGTGATTAATGGCGGGTGGACCTGGACGTAGCCCCCGTTCGGGGCGAAGCGAAACACATTTCCTAGCTGGTACAAGCATTCGGATCGGAACCGCGAGAGGAGGGAGCTGAAAGGTGTGCGCATGCGGAGGTGGGGAATCTGACGAAGGAAGTCGGGGCTGTGATACTTTTTCTGGATGGGATACGTCTGTTCGTATTATGACAGTTAGCTGGACCACCCTTGATCTTTTGTATGATTCCAGGAAGGCCTTGTGTACCTCAGGGTCTGCCTTCCCAAGAACATTCACGTCTGTCGTTTGAAGCTCATGGGTTTGCTCCTTGCCCGGTGGGCAAGCCTTCCAGACCCCAGAAATTTCCACAGCAGTTCCAGTAGACAGTCTAGAGATACATTAATTAGATACCAGTTCCTCGAAACCAATCAAGGGTGGTCAAGCTCAGTAGCGAGGTGTGACGTACTCGGCAGCCTGAGCTGGTCTCAAAAAAGCCTGTATAGGCTCAATCGTCGACCCATCTGAGATCTCAGCGAACGCAAAGCGTTTCTGCTTTCGGACGGAGCGAATAAACCCATTCAACTTGATCTCTTGATCTCCTAAACTGCAGGTTCCATTCTTGCTTTGCTCCAGGACTTGTGCGCATCGTAAGAGCGTCGGGCTGACGCCCTGACCGGCAGGTTTATGGCTCAGTCTGGCAACAGACGTAGCGAAGCTTCGCCGCCATGTTCGCATTTCTTGTAGGAAAGGGCACCGAGTTGGTTGTGGTGATGGGCGTTGAGGGCTCTGTTTTGGGGAATGCGCGTGCGCCTAAGCGCTGGAGGACGGGCGCGCAAATTAGTGGTCGGCCTGATAAATAGCTTACTGTTATCTCCGCGACTTCCAAACCGGAACCCTAAGAAGCCCACCTAGGAAATGCAAATGTACTATATAATCCAATGAGACTAAAAAGCTAAGTTTGTAGTAAAGCTGTACACTGTATCTTTATTCACCCCTGCCGGCTGCGCAGCTGCCACTGATTAGATAGCCAAATAATCCAGCGGCTCATTCATCCGGTCTATATCAACCTCAATACCGCCTCCGAGCAAACCATCGCGGCATATACTAGGGTTCTTCCGGAGCTTTATTCCATTCTTCCTATACTCTTAAATATCTGGTTAGCACAGTTCGTGTTAAATCCCGGGCTTACTAAATAATCACCTTAACTATTGGCAATGGAATTCTACTTGTCTTTCTGGAATTGGCATCCCGGTCTCTATAAAACCTAAAACTCCGAAGTTCATAGTATTGTTTGCTTATTACCGCGGTATTTCCACATCGTACCAAACAAATTGGCCTCTTTTGAGAGGTTTGATCGGTGCTTAGCCGTATTGAGAGCGTGAACACCCTTAACCGAAATGTTTTTGGCATACTGCACCTTGGCAGTCAACGTGTCCGGAGAAGTCAAGGCTGGTTAAAATAGCACCGGAATCAAAATAATATGGTTCACAATTCACATCCCAAGGGTAAGATGGCCGAGTGGTTAAGGCGGCAGATTTAAGCTAGAGCTGATCCCTGCTGACGTTGTCACCTGGGTTCGAACCCCAGTCTTACCAACATATTTTTTGACAGCCTTACCATTGGTGCCTCAGACTTACTGACGGCTACCATTGCTTCACGGACTGGAATCAATCAAGTTCAACCTAGCTCCGTGAGACTCAAAATGACATTGCCATAACAGTTGGTCGCACCACGATACACGGATCTTCATCGGAGTAACCTTCTGCTACTGAAACGGCAGCATAGTCAACAATGGCGCAACTTCGGCAGAAAGACTACCACAGAATGGTATGTGGGTCAGATCCGGACTGGTGGAACATGTCTCCTGTGACTCTTGAAGCGCAGTTCTGAGCTTCTGAAAGACCTCTTCATTGTCATTGAGAGTGAGTCGGAGGACCTTGTCAAGATCTCCCCCGAAAACAGGCCATTCGCTTTCAACCGACCCTTGGCTTTTAGCGGCTGTCTTTTGTTTCGGATTGAAAACCGCCCAATGCTGTATCTGTTTGTCTGGGGATCTTAAAGTCTGTATTCTCCGCAAACGCGGTAGGCATCGGTGATGGACCGTCCGAGTATATGGTTAGGCCCAGCCCCTTGTTGAGCTGAACTCTCATCATAGCTTCTTCACACATATTGCAGGATTCCCGCGGGCACTACCATGTTGTATCACTGGCGTGGTCAGAGATGGATTGCAGTAGTTGCACAGGGTCATTTGCAATGATTTTCACCTTCTGGATCCAAGTGGAAGGTGTAGGATCTCATATATGTGCTCCGTCGACTTTGTAGTAATATGCAAAAGCCGTGTCTCGATAACAGTCTCTGGGAAGGAAGTAGAGGGACAACTCAGACGAGGAAGCTAATTGGTTCTTATATATTATAGAAATCCAGAAAGATAGAGGATGATAGAGAGATATTCTGGTAAAAATCTCGAGTCTATTGTGGGAGGACGCGGGGGCAAGTATCAAAAGATTCTCTCAGTCTTTAACAAAGGGGTTGGAAGAATAATGGAGACAAGGAATAAGGGAATGTACGGTGATGAATGATCAACGTCAGTGGTCACAGAAGAATCATTCACTATTCTTTGTAACATTCAATGGGCTTTATTAAGTAATCCCTTAACCTTGCAGTCGATTAACTCAGTCATCTATTGGCCTAGCCAATGTTCACTCTTGTATAATTATGAATATAATTATAATAAATCAAAATATTTGTAAAGGAATTCACAAATTTACAAAATGAACTTACATGAAGTTCTTTAGTAGAAGATATGTTACCTATACAAGCGGTGAAGAGGGCGAGTCCAAGTAATATGTCATAGATTTAAGGACGATCATGCAAGGTGACTGTACAGTATCCCCTGCTCCGGGTACAGCGACGTCGGCGTCTATGTCCGCTGCCTTTTGAATGACGTTTGGCTATAAATTAGCACTCTGTCAATAGGAGGAAACTCAAAATTCAGTCTTCCGTCGGCATAGCATCTACTATCGTTTTGTTTACGTATCCTTACCTAGTTGACAGGTCTTCTACCCTGGATAGTAGACAACTTTCACGTTATATGTATCCTGCCATTTATCCAACCGAATTAAGATACTATGATAATCTTAAAGCTTTGCAGAACGGGGTCTCTAGTAGATTACAGTAGACCTAATACCACCTATTATTAGTGGCAGTTCTTTTGAGGGAATCCCCCAAGCTAAAAGAAATTCACCGTTCGGTGGCCATTCAAACAATTATCAAATAAAACTCATAAACTAGCCGGGGAACTCTATAAATTAGCTGCCTATACTAACACACAGAAGATATCCTGCAACTATATCCTACACCACCATAATTACGAATAGCTTCAGGGCAGTTGCAATAATCAGACAGCGACCCAGGAAGTAAACCCTAAGCTATCTCACCCAGCATTTCCTTGCATAGACCTTCTAGATATGGGAAGGCAAACCTTTCTTGTAGTAAAAGTTCCTGTCAAAAAGGGAAACAAGTTGAATTCCTATTCCTAAGTTGATTAGGTTGCTTGAAACTATCAACATGACTGTGGGGAGAAAACGCTTGGGAAACACAACAGCGCCAGGCCTATCTAGGCAGTGTCAACTGTTCCTGATTCTGATAATATGAAAAGAACTATTTTACACCTTTGACTGTTTGTCGATAGCGAGCTATCTTATGTCGTTATCCTCTGGCGAGGGAACGCATGTATTCCGATTCATGATTTGTGGCGCTTCGGGAGTTTAGGCTTCTTTGATGGATCTCGGTCAATGTTCAAAGCTTTTGATAAAGCCAATAGCGTCAGTATATATTACAATGCATATGGTTATACAGCCTTTCCACTTGGTAACTCACAGGCTGACTTGTTCTGGTCTTCAGAAGGATCTGATACCCTTATAGTCGGGGGTTTCAGGAGTTTACGCTTCTTGGAAGTATCGAATGATGGATCCCGGCGAATGTCCGAGGCTGTTGATAAAGCCAATAGAGTTAGTATAAACCATAATGTATATGACTTTGTAGCCTCCATTTGGCAACTCACAAGCTGACTTGTTCAGGTCTTCCGAGGGATCTGAAACCCTTATAGTCGGGGGTCTCAGGAGTTTACGCTTCCTGGAAGGCTCTGATGGTAGGGACCAACCAACGCCTGAGGCTGTTTAATCGAGGCCAATAGAGTTAGTATAAACCATAATGTACATTGTTACGGGACCTTTCTATGTGATAACTCACGAGCTGGCTGATTCGGCGGATTGGGACAAACATTTTGGTGATGCCCTTTTGTCTTGCAACGCCGACACGTAACCTTGGTGCAGGAGATAATGTTATGGTCACCTTTGCAAAAAACGCAGGGCGTGTTCTCAGGACAAAATTGGGACCGGTGGGTAAGAGATTTGCAATATTCGCAACCCTTTTCTGGATTGAATGACATTGTTACGGTAACCGTGGGCAGAGAGATGGGAAAGGTAAGGGTGGATGAGAGAAGGATGGATGAGAGAAGGATGGATGAGAGAAGGATGGATGAAAGAGCAGGAATATAAATGGGGGAGAACTGTGAAACACAAGACATCAAACAGAGTGAATCAATATTGCGATATCAATACGTAGTGAATGGTACGTATACTTATATGACCTATACTTATAGGTACCCAACGGCTCTGACTGTCTGCTATGGTTTGCCAGGTACCTATAAGTATAGGGGGGTCACATACTTGGACCCCCCACTGTACCTATATTGGTTTGTGCAACATCCTCAAACAGACGATATCAGGTTCTAATCACTTTCTATGAGCCTTCCTCCAATACCCCAACGCTCATGCAAAATTTTCCAATGTTGATGACCCCTACAGCTTGACCTATCTAGTACTCAAAAGTTGATTGTAGTCTCTGTTCCAGATATCTATCTACCTGATAGTATATGATCAAAATGCATGTAGTCGTTAGCATGAACAAGCCTGCGTGATCTGGAGAGAACCAAGAGAATACTTGTTTGTGGTGATCATAGGTGATTAAATTCGGAGTAAGAAGACATTTACAATCCATAAGACCTGACATGTGTCTACTTATTACTTGCCTTGTTAGTCACCTATGGGATTATCCAACATTACCACTGTAATCCAAAGACTAGAATAGCTCTTTTCGGCGTGGGTGAAAGATGTTGTTTTGGCAAACATGCCTTCTCTCTGTTATCCAAGTCTTAGTAAGTCGTAAAAGTATAACTAGCTTAATGGCGTATGGGTTTGGTGAAAAGAAAATGGAATAGATAGTTCTTATAATGTTGAGGCTTACGGGAAGCGCTTAATATTCTTACTTTGCTTTAATGTGACTTCTTCCTAGGTCGGGCGTATGATATTCGAGTGGGTCGGAAGAGCCCTGGAGGAAGACTGAATAGAGGGCAAGCCTACGCAGCGCCTGGTGACCACTACCATACTTATGTTGTTGTATGTCTTTCTTTCTCGTTTCTTAGATATCACAAAATCTGATCTGGGTCTGAATGAAGTTGCGCATGTCAATAATAACGCCTATCGGGATCTTCTTCCATTACTGTGAAGAAAGACTCCATTCCTGGGCCATTTTGATTGACTTCTGCTTCCGTATTAGCATTTGTTGAAGATGAATGGTCTGCTCTATTTCCAAAACACAGGCTGTTATATGTATATGATAGCAAGTGCGCTAGGGCTCCTGCAAGAATGGGTAGTGTTCACATATTGAACTGGCTCGCTCATCTCTTCCATTGAAAGCTAACATACCCTCAAGTGTACGCCGGTCTTTTTCTAGCCAATTATCCAGCACGCCTTGACTTGCGAATATAGGTTGATTGAAAAAGCATTCCGGTGTAAGATCGAGATCATAGCAATCCAAGTTCCCTTCTGAAAAGAAATGAAGCCAAAGAGTCCTCGACTCTTGTAAAATTCGACATACAGAAGCAAATTCGTACTGAGGTTCGTTGGGAGAGACTAGAGCTTTTATGTCGTCGGCAAGGTCAAAGATAAACCTTCCTACGAGTACATTGGGAACCAACAATGGGCTCACTATTTTTAGAAATAGGGGATGCTCCATGGATTCGGCATTAGTGGGATACATCTGAGCCAAGGATTTTGAGATCGGAAGTAGAGTCTTTGCTTCGAGACCAAGAACAATGAAAATGATCCAGAGGAAGCACCTTATTCTGACGGCTGCGAGACAATAAGGGTGGTATAGAAGGCGAGAGTCAAGTAAACATTCCGAAAAGACTTTTAGAATTCGTAGGAGGTCCTCTGAACTGACAACCCCAGTTTTGCGATCCCTATAATACGTCCATATTGATCGCACTTAATTCTCATATTCTGGGGGTCTTTCACGCCCGAATCTTCCTCCTATCATTCTAGAAAAATCCTGGAATAGGAGACCAGTCCCCTGGTTTATTATAGCGAGATTTCTTCTAACACCGGACAACGCTTCTTCGAAGGCCTTGTGGGTTTTTAAAATGGCTGAAAATATTCGCGCACTTGGCCACTGAGCCTGGCATAGCGTTATCGTTGACCCAGTACGAGTTCATGGCAACAATAAACGAGTCTCCGGAGAAGAGATAGATGCA